CATACATACATACATACATACATACATACATACATACATACATAACTTCACGCCTGTCTCCCATGGGGGTAGGCAGAGACTAAGGAACGCCAATTACTACGATTCTTACATACCTCTTTCGCTTCATTAACAGTCATCAATCTTTTCATGCATGCTCGTCGGTTAAGGGTACTTTTAATTTGGCCCTTCTTTAATATATCGCCAATCTGGTCACTATATGTCCGTCTAGGGCGCCCTCTACCGACGGCCCCATTCATATCCGCTCTGTATACTTCTTTCGTTACTCTACTTTCATCCATCCTTTCTACATGTCCAAACCAGCGTAACATTCCCTTTTCAATCCTTGTCACTACATCATCTTTCAATCCACACCTTTCTCTAATAACACTATTTTTCACTCGATCACTCAATTTTAGTCCACACATACTTCTTAGGGCTCTCATTTCCACCGCATTAATCCTGCTTTCATGCTTCTTCTGCCACTCCCATGATTCACTACCATACATAAGCGTTGGTGTCAATACACACTGCATTACAGCAAGTCGAGCTTTGCTGGATATTATTTTACTCGACATGACAGAGTGTAAAGCACCATTAACACTATTTCCCGCTTTCACTCTGCTTTCAATATCCCCGACACACTAGATGTCTAACTACATAAGGGGAAATTGTATTACTTTTCACAAAAATTACTCACACAACAGCATGAACGAAAATTCCTCGCTATTAGGTACCTACTGAGAACTATTTTTCTAAATGGAATGGATATAGCTGTAATAATTTGGCTGAAATTGAACCTTGCCCAAGCCTTTGCTCGATATTGCATTTTTTATTCCTCCTTGAAGATAGGTTAAAAAAACCTAGTAGAGGTAGATAATCATAATAAATCATAGAACTAATTATTCTTAAAGCTAGTACCTAAAAAACTTAGGTAGAAGTCTAGGTACTTATAAGCAGCTTTGTGAAATAAATAAATACACGAATTTAATTTGCGGAGGTAGGTACCAAACCATTAAGTTTCTCATTGGATGGTTACAATATTTTTTTAATATTGTATTCAAGTCATGGCTGAAACATAAATAAATACAATTAATACCACTGTTATAAACCGAAACGTGACTTCTCTAATGATATAATCTACTCTGTATCGATAACGCATATTTTATGCCTTTGTACGACACTGGCTCGCCTCGAGAGTCGAGACGTGAGACAACTCGCGTGGCGCAACACTATCCGTCAGTATTTTTCTGTCGCTTCGCTCGTTCGGTTGTGTTATTTTATTTTGTGAATATTTTGTGAGATCATTGTTATTTGTGTTTATTATCTAATGTAATTAAGTGTCAGACTTAAAAATACAAAATGCCGGTGTTTCACACGAAGATAATCGAGAGTATTTTGGAGCCAGTTGCTCAACAGGTGAGAGTTAACTTCATATTATTTATAGAAAAACGTCCTAGTTGGCTGGTGTAGGTGTGAAATTAGTAGATTATTGTTTACAGCAGTCGTTTACTTCAATATTATCGGTGTATTATGTCATAGCAGTGATTAGCGCGGGAGGAATGTGACGAAAATGTCTTTATTTGGTCGTGAGGCAGTGTCGGCCTTTTTGGTTGGTTTACGGGCGAACCCGGGTGTCGTATGTTGGATAACCTTGGCTGGTAAGAAGTGTGAAGTGAATCAGTAGTTACTGTTCTGTTTTTGAATGTCAAATCGGTAATTTGAATACTTTGAATTAAATGAATGTAACTCAGTAAAGTTTTAGTTAACTCTAAACATCGTTCAATTAAAGTGAATTAGTCTTAACTACATTCATGTAATAGTATCTAACTAGACGCTGTTTTATATTTTTATAACCATACCATGACCACTTCAATTAAAAAGATATGTTTGAACAAGTATTTAACATGAAAAGTATGGCAATCTTTAAAATGAAAGTAAATCACAATACAAGATTCAAATAAGAAACAGAGTAGTCTTCCTTAAAAAGTTACAACAGGTTTCTTGCCAATAGAGTTATTATTCTAGCTTTGTACCAGTCTTCTAACAAAATAATAAAACTTTTTTCCAATTAGAACAGTATTACAGAATATTATTTGATAATTCTACGTTAAAACTTCAGCAAGTTCTACAATAGTTGGTTAGGTAAACAATTTTAAGCTTGAAATCACTATTACTTGCAGCTTCAGCCTAGATTGAAAAAGATCATCTATACTCCTCCAGTCTCCTGTGTAAAAACAATATTACCCATTGAATCTGAAAAAAAAACAAAGAACATATACATTTGTATTTATAGTATTCAGAAAAGATTCCCAATTTTTTTTTAATTGTTCTTCTATTATTTAATATGAACCTATTGCATCAAAATTTCATTAAACAACAATGAATATATTCAATCACACTACAAAACATGTGCAAAAACAATTTACTCTGTTAAAAAGTAATGAGTCATCAACATAATTTCATGAATGAACCTACTTGCTCTGTTGCTAGTATTACTATGGTCATTGTTTTCAATTAATTCTTTACAAATAATGCTCAGCATCTGGTCACTGACTCACCTGTTTTCTATAAACTGTTATGAGTAATCTTTAATGACTTAAAAGGTCATTTAGAGGTTTACGAAACTAGTTTATGTATAATTTTATTGTCAAAATACTTAATAAAAAAGTATAAATATCACTAACTTTTGCTCCTATTTTGCCTGTGTGAAATAGCCACTAGCCCTACTCTGTACTCTAGCCAATATTCTTATCTGCACAAAATTTCAAGAAAATTGTTTGGGTATGTAAAGAGTTACTTAAGTTTAACACACTTCACTTTTATAATATTTGTGAAGATTTCAGTAGCTGTGAATTATTTTAATCAACTCCAATTAGCGGAAACAACTGATAGTATTATGAGTTCTTCCTGTGAATCCCTGTAATACCAAAATATTGGTGATTATTTTAATTCTTGCAAAGTATGAGACCGGCTTGTTATTGCTGATAAGAAGAAATTCTATTAGTATTAAATGTATTTCTTTATAATATTAAAAAGGATCTAGTACATCAACTATCTACCAGTAAAAGTCCCAGTACGATACGATAGTTTCAACTTTGGCGCAATGGATATTGCTTGAGGCATAGATTTTATGTGTCGCAGGGTCGATTTCAGAACTCACTCAGTCAGTACAAACAGACAGACAAAAGTTAAAAAATAATTATATTTTGGTAGAGGTATCAGTAATGCTATGGTTGCGATTGTATTTTACAAAGTTGAATGAGATGAGTGAGGAAATTATGTATATTCATATACATGTAGTAAAAAGCGGTTACTTCAATATAAAAGACTAATTTTATTTATCTGTATAGATTTAGTATCTATATGTACATAGTAAATTAGTAATTAGTACAGAAATTGTTATAAAATAATCATATAAGTAAAAAATAGTGCAATATTGTTATCATACGCACTTATCACTGTTTACATTGCACATAAATAAATCAGATTTTATCAAAAGTCAAGGTGAGAATCGCAAGGTCCAGTGTTATAAGATATTTAAACATGATTTACAATTTTATTGTGAAAATAAATTATTATTGTAATATCCCACATCCTGCATCTTGTACATTATGTATCTGGGGTCTTAGATAGTATAAATGCGAATGTATGGTTGCATGTCACCTTTTTCATTTTATTGACTGAACTAATCTTTTTTATTTAGCTGGAAGTATGGTGAAAGATATTGGCTAAATTTACACAGGTCAAGCTGAGGCAAAAACTTCTAATAAATAAAATACTTCATTAGTTTCTGGAAACCATCATTACCAACTTTACAGCTTGTTGTAATTTAAAACTAGTCCAGAGACTAGTCAGAATTCTAAAACAATAGTTACAAGATGCAGCTGTCTATGTATTTGTTTACATTATTTTGAGTTAAATTTTATATATATTTTAACTCGTTGAGTACCGGTTTTGTAGACACAATTATAGAACAATAGGTTGCGGTCACCAGTGACCGCTTGGTGTTTGACAGTTTAAGAGCAATAGCATGCCTGCTTCTCGGAAAAGCCAAGAAGTCCAGTTTGCATTCCTATTCTCCTGTTTTGCCAGTTTATCCTACATGGTCATAAGATTGTTATTTTCGCCATGTATAAATCAGAATCGTGAGTAGTACCTAGGTGTAACTTAAAAACTACTTCAGTTAGTACCAATATCTTTCCTAGTGTTTTATTTTGAGGCTCCTCTGTGCATCGCACGAAAAATTTATCGAAATAAAAAATACAAACTGGCCTTTCGATTGACTAAATACAAAAATGCTAGTTTGTACATTTTTTGTATTAAAATTATATTTCCTTGCTGTGCCCGACAGGGTCCACAATAATCTGTATTATTCTATGTTACCACCTAAGTAAAACATTGTGGAACACAATAAAGAATTTGAATTTGAAATTGGAACCCATTTACGGGAGATCTTCAGATTCTTTGAGCTGTAGATATTTCCCTACTAAATACTTTTTTGAGGGGAAAAATCATCCAATGACTTCTCCCGCCTTGGGTTAGGCGAGAGAGAGTGTCAGACTCTTACTGACTAAATACTACCTGTTCCTACTCCTTCAAGCCGGAGCTCCAGCAACCCGTTAGGCTCCGGCTCCGTCTTCTTAAATCCTTGGAAGCATGTTAAAGTCTAAAAGAAGTAGGTTAAAAGCGAAATATCTCAGGAGATAATATACTAGGGGAGATAAACCATTGGTCTTTGGGACTAATTGTAAAATGCTCTAATAATTAGCTATTGTTCAGTACTCCATTCGTCCAATTTAAACTGTCAAACACCAAGCGGTCACCGGTGACCGCAACCTATTGTTCTATAATTGTGTCTATAATGACGGTACTCGACGAGTTAATCATTGACAACTCTTTACTAACTATAATTACGTGAGTAACTATAACACGTGACCTGGCCCTGACCCTCACAATGAAAAAGTGACTAAAGTATTCGAATTATTAAAATAATATGGCCAAGGTTCAAGGAGAATTGAACTACTCAGGTAATACATATACATATGAATAGTTTTTGACATCAGTAATATTTGATTATGTGAAGCCAATCATTGCACCAGCTATAGTTAATGAAATCATCACGAAACAATAGTCTATAAAGGCTAATGGACTGTAAAGTCCCAGGTTCAGTGATTGATATTGTACTTACAGGTTTTGTTTGTGCGAAAGACGATGGACGAAGTTGTTTAACCCTTTGCATATTTTAAAACGACGATTAAAAAAGTGGGATAACAATTAAATACCTCGTAATCAGCCAGGATATAAACCTACACCTTACTATATAATAGACTTTCAACTGTACGATATTGTAATGTTTAAATATGGAAATCAACTGACGAAAATTGTCATACTTGAGTAACGTGAAGAACTGTAGTTTGTACCAATCATAAGTCTGAAGACGAATGTGTCATGGAATGCCAACAGTAATAATTAATTTCAAATGAGTCATTGAATTACGAAGCAATTTAAACCCATAAAGTGATAATCGACTGTAAAGGAGTTAAGTGTAAAGATTGATATAGTTAGTACTTCGTAGTTAATAAATGGTTAGGTACCAGCTGAACTAAAGAACACGAGATCTTTTTTTTATTGCAAATTTCAGCATCTGAAATTAGATAAAAAGTTTAAAATGCAAGGAAAGTCTCGACAGTTGAATCCAAAAAACTTACGTTACGTAACTAAAAATTGAATTGTGATTGTGAACCTGATTGAAATAGAGTTACTTATGGAGTTTCTTGCCTTTTTCTCCATAGGAATATACACCTTGGAATGACCAAATTGATTCACTTAAAATTGTTTGTTGACGTTCAATAGTGCCTTCCTGGTCTAATTAAAATAAATGATTTTGACTTTGACTTTGTTATTTCACCTAAACTTATAAGGGAGCAGTTGGATGCAGGGAGTTTCCAAGCAGTATATCGAGTTATTAGGGGATACTATTCGTACGTCTTGAGATTATGACTGATACTATGATGCTGATTCGACACAATACAGATGTCTAGGCACTTCTTGGACATCAAAATAAGTATAGTTATGAGTAGTGCAGAAGACATAATTGGATAGGAGGAACTATAATACCTCTATTTTGTAGTAACTATAGAGAATGGGTCGATTTATGGAAAATGTCGATTATGGCTACAACATGAGACTACTGACAAAACTAGCCAAATGTGGGCGTAATTTACATCACTACCTTTTCTATAAAGGAAAAACAATCGTGAAGATATGCTACTAGCTCAAAATTATGGACACAGCAGAGGTCCTTAACCTCAAGTTATGAGTGAAATCATAAATCTTTGGACATTTATAGTCCAGCCGTATCTAGGCCCAATCAGCAAGCTCGGTGCCTAATAGGCTATCACTATCAACCTAGGAAAACATTTTATAATGTAATAAATTCTGATTCGCGTGTTCAAGAGTAGTTAGTACCTATTTTATTTTTTATGGAGTCAGGTTTTTATATTTAACGCTAAATCTTTTTGTGATCATTGGTCATCTGTGTTTCGCAAATAAGTGAATGAAGAATAGTACCTTTAGTTACTGTTGAAATATGCATATTTCAAGTCCCTTTATCACGATTATGTCATAGATATAAATTCATCATGTATCAGGCCTGCATTGCGATAATAGTTACCACACAACATGCACATAGATAATGATGAAATTGTTACCGTGCCTACTAGGCATGTAACTAAGTAATGAGACAATCGTTTTATCTGCAATGTGGTTTTGGATCGTGGTCGTTTTGGACAAACAATTGTGAATATTAACAGCCTGTAACTGTGATCATTAACATTTGTGAAAAAAGTAAAGTGCCATTATCACTTTATACCTTCGATTCTAAACTGCAGTGTAAATAAGAAAGTATCTGAGGATAAAGTTGTATCCACACAAACCGTCAGTCATATCGTGTCGCCCACGTGTTTCAGTAATTAGGGCAGGTGCGCAACCTCGCCTGTATCCGCACTCGGCAGCTATTTCTGCCATGGGACTGCTGGGCTCGGCCCTACTGGACTAATGGTCACGCCAAGGTCGTCTTGCCCGTATAGTTTTATCCACGAGAATAGAATTTTGTTAGTCTTTTATTTTGTTTTTCCAGTCATCTTAATAAAAGTATCGGTCTGTATACTTGAGGGATTGTATACCTGAGGGATTTTAAAACACCTGACAGCAGATTAGAATACAATATTCACTACCTTATCTTACGGGGGTCTTAAGAGAATTGGGAATGGGAACTTTTAACAGAGACTGGGGAGCAGCATTTTCTTGCCAAACCTAAAGATTATGGCAAACCCCTCTTTTGTAGACGAGACTACAGTCCAGGAATGGACTCACGGACTATTAATGATGTTTAAAACAATGAACCCTTATAGAGCAACGAAACTCACTCAAAATAGCGAAGAGTTAGGAAACAGGCGCCAGTCTTGCAATAAATTATTCAATATGAGAGCGGTATTGAGTGCGCGAACGATTTATACCTTGTAAACGCTTTGTATAGTAATATAGCACTAACTCGACTCGTAGCCGGTGCAGTAAATTACTATACAGAAACTGTTCTGGTAACAATCTAACAATGTAACATATGTATGTTAGTTACAATAGGTCTAGAAGGCTATTGAGATTGTTTGTGATCCTTACGTATTTTTGTGTCCTACAATTGGAGTTTTAACTTATATCCTCCATGTTATGCTAAAAACCAATAGTTTTGGACGTGCGCATTGGTTATCCTTGCGATTTTGTGATTCATCTATCCATGCGCTCATGTTTGACAGTCGACTTTAACTTTTACTTCAAGCCTCTTGAAATTAATTACACTTAAAGTATCAATTTTCGTAAGAGAACCAGAGAATATTAACTTACCAATTATAAATACTGAAAGCCAGTCTTAATTTAATTTCAGTGCTAAAATAAGCCAAAACAGTCTTAAACAATGTTTTATTACTTGCAAAGTGAACAAGGCATTAAGTATTCATCCAGTGCATTCCCGCTTCTATAAATAAACTGCGGGCCGAGTCCCTGAGTCGGGAGACCCCGTTGTTTTAACCTTTTTGCCGGCACAGGCCCGAGCCTGAAGCTATATCTAGGTATAAACTGAACGGTGGAACAAGGCAATATGAAGCCTAGAGAAAATATTGTCTTGCCTTAAAATTTTTGGTTATAAATTATGATAACATAATGCTGCATGAGCTAATTGTAATCTGACTAGTATTATAAATGAGAGAATAGATGAGTTTGTGTAGTTATTTGTGTTTTTGTAGAACTTATATGTTTGTTACCTAATCATGTCAAAACGGCTGAAGGGATCGGGATGAAATTTGGAAGAGGGGTAGGTTTTAATCTGGGATAACACAGGCTACTTTTTATCCCATAGGCATGCGGGCGAAGCTACTGGCAGAAGCTAGTGTTTGTTATCAAGCTTAGTATGAAGTGTTTCATAATTATGATGTCAAATGTGAGAGAATGACAGGGTGGTTTGTCTTGATTTTTAACAATCAAGAGGCATGCGTATTCAGCATAATGCGTCTACATGATACAGCAAAATAAAAAGGGACGATTTATCTTCCAAAACTCTGTGTCAGATTAAATAAATTAAGGAAGTTTAGGAACTAGATGATGAATTTCTTCTAGTCTGCATAGACAATGACTCCGTACAAACTATTTCCAGATTCTTAATAGCTCCGTTACTTCATAGTTGACTAAAATCTCATAAACACGAAACAAAGTCAATACACAAAGCGATAATGTTGCCAGGTGATATAATTCAAATATTCTATATTTAAATGTTGACTCACCACTGGCTGTTTGTTATAGTTTTAGCGCGCTGTGTTCGCGCCTAAATTTAAATTTGGAATCGACCGGGAACCATTTCGTAACCGTTTTGTTTTTATTTTCGTTTTGATGGCGATTTATGACGGTTGTAAAATGTGGTGACTTGTAGACTAGGTATTAAATAGTTGTTTTTGGTTCAATTAGTAGTAATACTTCATTAGTTAAACGTTATTGATTATTTCCTCAGTCTAAGTTGACGTAAACCAGAGCTTGGCTGGATTATATCAACCTGGTTGAGTGCAGCCATAATACACACGTTACCAAGATTGTTGATGGAAATTTATTGAATGCAGTTTTACTTGTGTACAATAAATAATACAAAAGTATGGATAAATATATGTATTTTTAATATAATTTAAATATTATCATGCCCATAGCAAGTTCGCTCCTGTACTTACACAACTTTTTTATGCATAACATTTTAAACTAATAATTTACTGAAGAAGAAGAATGTGTCATGTGATATTGATATTGATACATGATGACATTTGATAGGAGTTGCTTAGAATAAGAACAAAAAAGTAGAAAAATGGTCGTTCAGCTTTTAAAAAAATTTGTGATGGTGTTTGGTACTGAGATGTGAAAATAGAGGGATAGTGGTTATAAAGATGGAAGCAGTTTGACAAGAAAGAACGAATACAGTATCAAATCTACTTCTGTTAATACTTATCTGAAATAATGAGTCATCCATGTCTAAAATCAGCATCTACTGAGTAACATAATTAAGTAAATTTTACAAATAAATATGGGAATGTGCACTTTCTTTTTTTTATAACAATCAATCAGAAATTTATGAAATATTACACTTAAGATTTCTTTACCGTTGTTGTCTTTTTAAGCACAACTCTGCTAAGTCCGCTTTAGCTTTAGCTTCTCGAAGCTTCTCTTTTAAAATCTTAAACTCCATGTTTTGTATGACTTCTGCATGTAACGCTTTAGTCTTATTCTCTTGTTGATGAGCTCTTAATTTCTGTTTCAAGAGTTGTACTTCTAAATAACGTACTTCTTCTGCCGATGGAAACATAGATTCATCCTCTAAATTAGGCCTTGATTCTTTAAAAGAATTCTGCGCATTATTACTAGGTGTTATTGTTGAATTTTCACATTCTGTTTCGTATGATGGGGTTGGTGATGGTAATGATTCGATTTTGACTGAGGTTTCTGGTAGTGTCTCCTGATCACCAGTGTTAAAGGTTTCTTCGCTTTCTGCTCTGCTTGTTCCTGCTTCTACCAAGAGATCGTTGTTTACGTTTTCTACAATAACAAAAGGACAAGGGCATTAAAAGGGCATTTAATTAAAGATTAGTCAGTTGCTGAAACAAGTATTTTACCTGATTATAAATAATAAATAATCTTTATCCATAAATGTAAATGGACACAGATACAAAAATATTCCCTGGATAAGAAAAATAGATCTCACATGGTTAGGTGCCTGTACTACGATAATCCTGTCTCACAGGCAAGAGTAGATGTAACATAATTATAATTTTATTGTAATACATTCTTTTTTCTACAAACATAATACTTGACATAATTCTGACAAACTAAAATATGACTATTTAATATACATACACACATACATACCCTCACGCCTTATGCTCCCGGAAGATATTTATAAAGATATAAGATTATTTGAATGAAAGGGGATAATTTAAATATTTAAATATGATCGTCATGATTTATATAAAATCAACTGAGTAGTGTGAGTACTGGCAATTAATACAATTATTATGGATTTAGTAAAAATATGAAACAAAAATTCTATGCAGTACTTGTTCGCCTGTTCTTTATAGAGATTAAATGGTTTGACGTAGGAAGATAAAAATTGCATAAAGTATATACCTATGACAGTCTCCGGGTCTCCAGAGTCTACACTGGACAACAGGGCGTGAGCTATCTGTAGCACCTTGGGACCTGGTATGGTAATGGAGCGACCCTGCTGACGTCTGATCATGTATCTCTGTCTATGCTTCAAGTTCATCCATAGTCTTCTTAATTGTTTTGCTGTTCTCTGGTAAATTAAATTAATTTTTGTATTTGTGAACAGTTCAAAAGACCAAGGTAATGTATATTATTTAAAAATATGTACAATTATTTGTCTAAACATTTTTGGTGTTAAAAATTTAAAATAGGTAATGTTATATTTAACAGTGATCCTGTTAATTTCAGATTAGACTAGGAGAAAAAATATATAGTCAACTTTTTAATATTTGTAAGTTAGTTGCTTTTTTGCCTGCCTTCCCCTCAGGCGTACTAAAAGCGTAATGTTAAATTAACACAAAGCATTGATAACAATTTGTCCTTGAAATGTCAAAACAAATCAGAATTCAAACTTGATATCACCATCTTGAAACCGTCCAAAACTGATAGTAAGCGCCACAGTTGACATAATTATAACTATAAAAGATATTAAATTATTTAAATAATTTACTTACAGTGTAATTTGTGGAAGGACTCATATTAAATTCCATTGTAATTCTCTGCCATGCTTTATTTTTAGCTTTTAAAGCGGCAGTATGAGTTCCCTTATGCTCCACAATTTTCACGTAATTCTTCAATATTTCTAGAAATATCAGTCGTTCTTGATGTGTAAATATTTGCTTTTTATATTGTATCTCCATTGTAAATCGGAATCGTCATAAACTTAGACTTACACTCAAACACGGTTTCAATTCTGAGTTCTGACAGAGTGACCTGAGTGACAGATTCACAGAGTATCAACTTACCCACTCGAAAAAAAAAACTGAAACTGACAGTTACGTTTTGTTATTCCAGGAGCAAAATATATTTTACAAGATTTTTAGGTGTTATTAATTTAAAGTATTTCAAATTCAAACTATTGTAATATATTATGATGCTTTTCATTTATCGAATGGGCAGGCAGAGATGAACATATTTTTCTAATACTTATTTTTTAGTTGTATAATGATGGTAATACGAGCTGAGCTTTATTGCCAAACGTCAGGATTAATTAATGATTTCATGCCTTTTAGTTACTACAACAATTCTTAGAAAAATGCAAGGTTCATAAAATTAATGATAATTTTAAGCGCAATAATAAAACGTATTTCATTCGTTCGAAATCATTCAGATGTTCAATGTTCAGTGTACTACAGAATGAGATGAAGCACTTGAGATAGGTAATCGAGTGTTACTTGTTAGTCGTGACAAACACGAAACTTACTATTCAAGGAATGATGACGTCACCTTATACATTTTATTGAATTAAGTGTTTGCACTATTACATTTTATTGTATTGTAGGGGTTTCGGAGATAGACTGAAGTGAACATAGATACAAAATAAGCTATATTTATTTTTATTTATTACTGGAGTCGCAATAGACTTAACGAGATATTTTGAGGTTGATCTTAGGGTCTTGCCAAGAATTTCAAAAGTATGTTGTTACGGTTTTTTTTTATTTTGAAGAGTACAAAATTAGTGGTAGGGCAACTTTTTTGGTTTGACAGGATGTGAGCTTCTCCAATTTCAAATTGGTACTGAAAATTGCCGCAATCTTATAATAACGTTAATTTTGAGTTATTTAAAAACATTGTGATGAGTTTGGACAAGCGCTGCCTACGTGAAATGAGCTGTAAAATCCTGATCTTCTAGAATAGCCCTTCTATAATACCTTTACAGGTATAAGTGAATGTATCGTTGTTGCGGGTATAAATACCTATCTATATTTGATACATAACACTATGAAATGTACAACATCACTGGCTTCAGCCGGCGGCTTCGCCCGCGGTCTTTTGGGATAAACTTATGGGGCCTATGTGTTATGCCAGACCATAATCTATATCCGTTTCAAATTTTAACGTGATTGGCATACAAAAATTTACAAACTTTCGCATTTATAATACTAGTGAGATAAAATGTGTATCATATCTATTTTATGACATTGATAAGTTCCTTAAACTGTCAAACACCAAGCGGTCACCGGTGACCGCAACCTATTGTTCTATAATTGTGTCTACAAAACCGGTACTCGACGAGTTAAGAATAACTTGATGAAAGAAAGAAAAAGTATTTACAATAATGACATCGTCATCATCATCATCATCATCGTCATCATCATCAAAGCCGAAAGACGTTCACTGCTGTACAAAGGCCTCCCCCTTCGTCCTCCACATCAAATAATAACATGTATATTAACCTATTGTAAATCCACTTTTCATTCGTTAACTACCTCAATAGTTATTGTATTATGGAGTGAGACTATTTCCCTACGTAGCTACATATGTAGGTATAAGTATGTATTCAGACATTGTACTATTACTAAGAATTTTCAAATCGAAAGGCCTAATAATACATTTCCGACCCGGGGGCTAAACTCGGAAATTGAGGGAGACTCGACAGACGAAGCTTTTATGTACAGGATATTCATTTGTATTGATAAAAATCATGACTTGTAGTTTTCGATAAGTTGGTAAGTTAAAATAATATTTGTCTGTTACGGGTGTGGCCGACCAGTTTCGAACTCAAACAGAGCCCTTACGCAGTGAGCTCGAAAATAGACAGACCTGTTAATAAACCAAATGTCAAGTTTAATGTTTAACGTAAAAATGTGTCAACATGTTAGCCATCACTCCTAGCTAATGCTAGATTAAGACTGATAGCTAAAGATCTTATACAAACAACTGAGTAAAAACGAGGTTTGTTTATGAATGCACTCATATAATAAGTGGGTTATATGTATAAATGTATAATAGTAATCTATAAATAAGTACTACAAATAGAATGTGGTAAACCACTTCGTGCGATGGCCTAATTAATTGGTTTGACGGACAAAATAGTAAAAATCTCTTTCTCTTAACATGTGTGATGTTTTAATGTCGTATTAACTAAAATGCTTACTTTTATTGTTAATTTTTGGTTCAGTTGTAACCAGTTTAATAGTTCCCTTGAAACTTCTGATTGAAACAGTTTTCGGTGAAATATTATCTGATTTGTGGCATGATCGTACGTTTTTTATAATTACAGTAGGATTTAGACCGATATGAGACTACACCGTTTTGGGGCGGAGGGTTTCTCCCCATTTACTAACTCGTTTCGAGTTCCTTTAATTCAGTTTTCAATCTCCCACCACATTTTTCCAGTGATAGGTACTTTGGTCGAACCATCGTTCGTAGGTTGAGTTTCAATCACCTACTGTTTTAATATGCCCGAACCAACGTAGCAACAAAATCTTACTATTATATTTAATTCTTAAAAACCATCACTGATCGATATCATAAACATCAGTTCAACAGAATACATATTTTTGGATTAGACAGCTTCCTTTGTTTTGTTTAGAGATCAATACTTGTAAACGTTTCTTTCATGAACGTTTCTTTTTGCATGACGATGTGAAATATCGTGCAAGACTTTGGTATTAAATGTCAGGCGTTATAAGCTTGATAATCCGCCCTGATATTCGTATCCAGTGGGTCGGAAAGTAGGGTAGGGCTTTGGGGTGCTCTTCAATGTAGCAAAACTAAACGATTTTAAAAAGACGACTATATTAGAAAATGTTGTGGATTATGTTTGTTTAAGAACCCTAAGTTCTTAAGAAGAAGATTCCAAAGTTAAATTATTTTGTCCTATCGGGTGCAGTGTAGTTTTAACCTTGATTTTTTTTTCGCTTTTAGTCATGTCATTAACTTGACCTGAGAATATGAAAACAATACGATTTTCCTTCCCTGTAAGTCTTCAATCATTCTTAAACTGTCAAACACCAAGCGGTCACCGGTGACCGGTGACCTATTGTTCTATAATTGTGTCTACAAAACCGGTACTCGACGAGTTAAACTGTCAAACACCAAGCGGTCACCGGTGACCGCAACCTATTGTTCTATAATTGTGTCTACAAAACCGGTACTCGACGAGACTAAAATGGAATATGCAAAAGATTTCGTCACCATTAACCGACCACATTTTCACTATCGTATACGATACTAAAAGAACTAATAAATTAATTTAACACTATTCCCCATTTGAAGCAAAAGCGCAAAATTTTATAACAGAAATTGGCAGCATGCCGAGAAATCAAGAGGACTCTCAAGCTGTGCACAATCAATAAGTGAAAATTGGCGCGAAGTGTTTAACCAGCGTAATTTATAATAGCTGAGCTATACACTCACCATATGGTCACATCCCACGCGTGGCCGTGGACTCTAAGAGATAATATTACGACACCACTCAAACTTAGATTTTATTATTTGCCATATAAATTTGCGTGGGTGTTCTTACGGAGGCAATTTGCATCGAGTGTCATTGGCGTCGGTTAACCAGCATACATTTTAACCTACTATTTGTATAAATTGATTACTGGAGATCCACAAAAGAAAGGAATGCATTAGCAATTAGGTCGAAAACATTAAACGCATGAAAAATAGTTCAAGATTTTTTTAGCCTTGAATTTAGTTCAAGCTAATATTTTGCAGGGTTTGACTCGGGTATTCGCACTTTCAATAATACTGATTGTATACAATTCTTTAGTGGTAGTCTGAAACGTCGATCTTACGATTAGACACATTTACTATAAAATGTGTCCCAAAATCCCCCTTACATTTTCGGTACCTTTATCAGACTAAAACCGAAAGCAGAATCTACGTAGTACATATTTAGTTACATCTGAGCCTCACCTTGACCCAGTGGCTCGCCGGCAATGTACTATACTATAGGACTATAGGTACTTGTATTCGAAACCAGTTCTGGGAACATTTAGGCACAAAATGTTGTCAGTTTGTTTATTTTCCTCGTATGAGACCTAACTCTTAATTTAGGTCGGGAAGATGTTTTTTTGTGGATGTATGTAAACGTTTATTGGGAAGGAATGGTGAATAAGCCAGTCTGTAACATTTTAATTAAGGTGGTCAGCACACTGAGAGATTGGGTAGTTGGATTTTTCGTTTGATTAGGATGTTTTCAGATTGTAGTACTGTGTTTTAAAGAGTAACGATGCTCTTTCTTTCACGTTCTTCATACAAATCTGCATTTTGGAACGAACTCCTAGCTTCTTTGTCGGGAAATTCTATTCTGACATTTCAAAAGTGCTTATTTATGTTGGAGCTTCAACTTTGAGCTAATTTCTGATTGCATTTTATAAACATTTCTCAAAGAACAAGCTATCAGTAACAGCATTTGTGGTAAGACGATAACATTTTTACCCATTGATAAGTAGCATTTAGTAATTCATCAACTAAATTACTATTAGTCCTTCAATTACAAAGACATCTTACCAACAACAATACAAACATCGTCACTATTCATAGTAGAATTTCGATCCCCTAAATACAAACTCCACACAATACGACCCTCTTTCCAATCTCAATATTATCAGCAGACATTTAGTTCCCGTCCACCGTCCATAATCATCTTGGACAAACACAATCAGCTCCAAGGTCCCATCAGGTCCAAATACCGCGCCCTTTCAACCACACCCCAGGTGGGGGACATTGCGGAGGGGTGATTTGTGAAAGTCATGTCACGAAATACAAAAACAAATATGGACGTATTTTTTCGGATTAGGTGGTTATCGCATGTCGGATAAGCGTGTTTTATTACTTGAGATTTTGAGAAAATGTGGAGCGTTTATGCTTGTTTGGATTGGGTGTGATTTAAAGTGAAGGTTTTTGTTTTTAGGGAGATATAGAAGATTTTTAAGGGACTTTTACGATGAAGATATTCCTTGCTAT